CATGCATACATACATACACACATAAATACACACACACACATACAGACATACATACATACATACATACATCCATACACATACATACACATACATACACATACATACACATACATACACATAGACATACACATACACATACACGTATACATGTACATAGACGTATACATATGCATACACGTACACATACACCTACACATATACATATACATATACATATACATATACGTATACATATACATACACATACACAGACCCATGCACGTACACATACACATGTATGTATGTATATATATATACATATACATATACATATACATATGCACATACACATACGACATACACATACACATGCACACATATACATCATGACCTTACACCTCCACGGACATCCATATGGACGTGTTCTACATATCCATATCCATATATTATATATGTATGTACATACATATATATATATATAGATTAATATAGACATGTCGTGTACGAGACATGTGTGCATAAATTTATAGATGCTGACATAGCTCCTTGTCTTACCACCCACCTACCTGCACACCTGCTTACCTACCCTTCTTGATGCTCATGCACAGTGAGCGCGTGCAACCTTCGACTCATGGGGCAAGCGTTTCTTCTGACATCGTGTCCGAGAAACATGATCGAACATGAACCCAATATGCATTTTCCCGCCAAGGGTGTCGCAAAGTTCACCTAGTGACCCTCGGACCCTCGGAGTGTGCTGGAAAATCAGGATGGCGCTGAGAGTGTTTCGCTTCTCCAGCTGCTGAACCGATGTTGACCGGGTGCACCGACTGACTGGAAGGCTTTAGCTGGAGAGGCGCGATACTGAGGTTCCGCTCAAAGCCTTAATGTACAAGGGCACGTCCAGTTCTTTGACCGCATCTCCACCAAGCCCAAGAATTATCATAACATGTGCAGTACATGATTTCCGCTGCGGGGATCACAGAGTGTGATCATGATCCTGCTTCATCCCATAACATGTCAGGGCTGCGGTGGCACTGGTAGCAAGTGGACCTGCCTAGGCCTGGCAAACCACTCCAGCATCATAGCTGGCTCGCGCCGAAGGACCCTTTAGCCTCAGAGGTTGCAATCTTTCGGAGCGCAGTTTCGGCTGAACTCAGTGGGGGTGGAGACATCGTGGCGGCCCTCGGAGTAAATTCGGGTTTGCTCGCTCAGGAGTAAAGGATTGACTGCAGTCAGAGTGATGTGAGACTACAGTAGCCCTTCCTGTCCCATGTCCTGTAGACGACACATCAAAACAAGATCAACAGATTCACGGCAGGCCAGGAGATCCCTGTTCTTGCGGAGAACCAGCAGCGTTTGCGAGGCCAAGCAAGATAGTGAGAGCTCCGAACTGCAATCTCTAAAAGAATTGCCGTCGGGTCTTGGGATCCACGCCAGCTGCAGTTGTTCTCAGAAATTCCCGCTGCGCTGGACCAGGCCCGGTGTGAGCGCCTGTGCGTCCTGGCCATTGGCGGCTCTCAGGGCCGGGACAGTCTTCAGACAACTTTCCCGCACGTCAAGTGGAGCCCGACGCAAACACCGCACAGGACAACTTAGCGACTTGCGACGTCTGACCGTGGGTTGTGATTGGGCGGGGCTTCTGTCACACCCCGAAAATCCTCATGCTCACTTCCCGCTGGGTGTTTTTTTTTCGCGCCCTGTTTAGATCCTCAGGGTTTGGGTCAGGGTTTGGGGGTCTAGAGTCTGGGGCGGAAGGACCAAAAGTATCTATAAGGGGGCAAAACCCAAAGAATCTCTAATTAAGGAGGCCAAAAACAAACCAACCGGTCGTACAAGGTTTTTGTTCGCGCCCTGGGTTTGGGGGTCTAAAGCCGAAGGAACAAAAGAATAAACATACATAAGACGGAGACACAAAGAGACGGCGAGACAGAAAGACAGAGACACAGAAGTATTGGGAAAGAAAGAGAGGATGACAGAGGGAAAAACAACAAAGAGAGAGAGAGAGAGGGAAAGAGACAAAACGAGAGACGGAGGGAAACCAAGAGGGACGGGGGAAAGCAGCGGTGAGAGAAAGAAGACAAAGAGGAAGGGAGAAAGAGAGAATGAGAGACAGGGAAACAGAGCGACAGACAGACAGAGTGATGGAGAGACAGAGAGACAGCGAGAAAGGAAGGAAAGGAAGAGGGCAGGGAAGCGGAGAAGAAAGCAGGAAAAGGGCCGGGTAAACGAAGCGAGACACAGCAACGAAGGGCAGCGGAAGGGACCGGAAGGGCAAGGAAGGGAAGGGAAAAAAGTTAGGGGAGGGGAGGGGAGGGGAGAGGGGAGGGGAGGAGGGGAGGGAAAAAATAGTGATAAGGGAAACTCTGAGGAGTGGGGAAGCGTTTTCACCTCTCTGGCTGACTGGTAGTTTCGTTTTCTACCGTATTCGTTTTCAGTTTCCACCCAGCGGAACCCAATAATTTCTCATTTGTTATTACTTATTCGTTGTCTCTTATTGTTGTTCCGTATTCGTTTTCTCTCATTGTTGGACCTTATTCAGTTTTACTTAGCCCCAGTCCTGCACTTTTCGTAGTTGTTGTCTTGAAGTGTCTTTTGGTATGTGTTCTGTTGTTGTTTTTCAACCCCATATTTTATCTGGCTTTCTGTCACTTTCCGTAGGATCATACCCCGTTATACAAGTTGTCCCTAAAAATTGTGATTATGGAATCCCATTAATCCGATGATTTCGCTTGATTGTTCTTGTGGTGGCTTTCAACAATAATATCAAATGTTGAACAATAACATGATTGCTGGTTCAGTTTTAAGCAAAGATTATTAAACTTTCGGAATTCCATTAAATCAGGAAACACCTGTAGATTATTTAGATATGTAACAACCATGGATGAAATAATGATAAAAAAGTTTTGCATCAACAATATCATGGTCATCATTCTATTTACTATTGTATGTTACTATGAATAACGTTCTCAACTCTCTCACCTTACTCTCATTAAAACACTTCCTCAAATTTACGATGTTTTTGTTTATCCTATATTTCAATGTATTTAGCTTAAAAATCATTCTCATATTCTGCGAACTCATATTCATAAACATTACAGTAAATACGAACAATACATAAATTAGTATTATACCCTTTCGACACATTTAATATTATGTCTCTATGTCTCTATGTTCAGGATAATCATACCGCTCGAAAGAGGCTAATTAATTTGAAAACAAGGAGCAAACCACTCGAAAGGAACCGGACAATTTCAGAACAAGGAGCAAACCGCCCGAAAGAGAGCGCTCGAATACAAGGAGCAACCCGCTCGAAAGGAACCAGAAAATTTCGAAAGAGACTAGAGAATTTGAAAACAAGGAGCAAGCCGCTTTTTAAACCCGTCGTTGGGTTAGGAGGGCTTTTATGTCAACATCTCGGGCCCGTGGAATCTCGATCCGGGCTGCAAAGGGGCCACCGAAAGCCCTGTCCACTGAGGGGAAGGTTCTTTTTGGTCAGAGATACATGGCAGGGTAGAAGAAAAAACCCGTCCGCGGGAGAGAAGGCTGTTTTAGACCCTGTCCACGTTGGTGGACATACAAACGAGCCCCTGGACAGCGCGGAGGGCTTTCTTCGGACGCGGTCCATGCATGTTCGAGAAGCTGGTGAGCATCGGGCCTACCCAGAGCCTTTCCGACAGTACCAAAATAACCTACGGGTACCAAACACAAAAAAGCCCGTTGTGATGACGACCCAAGTGACCATGACAAGGATTCCGATTCCGCCTTGTGCTTTGCGGCATTGCAGGTCCCAGACTTCCTTAATCCCGCAAAGGACTACGGCTACGGCTTAGCTCCTTCTGCTTTTCTTCCGCAAGCAGGCCAGCAGGCAACTTTCGAATCTGCGGAGGCTTCGGGACCTGGCATGCTTCTGCTCTCTTGCCACAGAGGCCTTGAAAGTCACAGTTTGAAAAGAGACGCTCCCAGATCCCGAAAAAGAGTCCGGTTTTGTCCATGAGTCCACGCATCATCGGACGCCAAGGGACAGACCTTGCACCTCAGAGTCCCTGCCTTGGACGGCTTCGGGAAGGGAACTTGCTTGCCGTTCTCGAAGAGAGCCGGCTTGAACTCTTCCGGAACGCTCGGATGCATGACCTTCAGCTTCATGACGATTAAGACACAGTGGCCACCGTGAGGTACCAACGCAAAGCCCAGGGCAAAATCCAGGCTTGGCATTTGACGCAGGTTGAGAGGCTCTTACATTTTGCTTGAAGCCTGGGGACCTCGATGTTCGAGCTCAGCCAGGCAGTCGCCGTTCTGGGAGCTTCAGATATACCGCAGCTACGCACTGCGGGCTTGGGGCCCCTAGGGCCTAGGGCCTTCTCTCAGGGCGTGTTGGGGGTGTTGGGTCTGAGACTCTGAGAGCATCGGGCCCGGGCCGAGCTGTTTCGATATCTTTCCACGTGGGCCTCCAAGTCCGGCCAGGGCCCGCAAAGGCGCACCTGGCTTTTTGCAAAGAGCGAGGCCGCGAGTTGATGTCTACAAGGGGGGCGAGAGGTGGACTGACAGCCCAACCCCACAGTATCCACAGTTTCCTGAAGTCTCGAAGCTAGATTTTCATGTGTCGAGTCAAGACTTCAATGCTGAAGCTCCGTTGCATGCGCAAGCCTCATTGTGAATAAACCTCTCGACTCCTGAAAGTCGAGGGTCTTGCAACCCCAATAGGAGCAGGGGGTATTGCATGGACCGCAGAAACCATGTCATGCTCAATGAGCGAACTCTCACACTCCAAGCCAGGTGGATTATCCCCCCCGAATCGCAGCACCTCGCAGACTTTCTTGCTGGGCACCTTCCACTTCTTGAAGCCTCCGGGCGAAAGCAAACGCAAGAACGGGCAGCAGGAACCTCCTGTAAGCTTGATCCTGCTTCGTCTCATCCGCATCCCACAAGAGAAAAGGACCAGGCACCTGTCAGCTTCTCCTGAATCTGGGGTACGTAGGAGCTGTCCACCAGGTTCACAAAAGCATAACCCAGGCTGGCCTCCGGTACACGAGATGATTCTGTGAGCATTCCGATCCGCGTGCACACACACCATAGGACCGGCAAGAGAGGACAAGAGAGAGAGAGAGAGAGAGCGAGAGAAGCGGCACCTGAGTGTGAAAGTCAATGGGCAAGTACCTCAGCCAGCAGCGGTACTGGTGGGGAACTCTTCCTGAAGTACCAAAAAAACCACAGAGCCTCCCACGCCAAGAAAGCTTACAGATGTCCATGGCGAGTCACACAAAGTTGTATTTCCCGGCGAAGCCTTCGGAATCAAGCATCTCCAACAGCTTGGATCTCGTGTAGTTGTTCCTGGGCCGATGGACAACCAGTGCAAAGATTCTCAAAGCCTGGTTGCCATATTGCACACTACGCAACTTTCAGCAGCCATGGCACGGCAGATTCCGAAGCATCACCGACGTGCCACAGTCCGCTGCTGTGGAATTCTCCGTCCACTCCCTGGGCATTGGGTTGGGTTGTCGGGATTTGTTTCCAAATGGCCATGGCAGACAGCAGTCAAACCTCCAAGGACTGCCCCGCGCTTACCCGGACAAGTCAAGTACTTTCCACATCTCTCCAATTTAGTGCCTTTCCGGTCATGCTGCGTTTAGGACCCTGTGCTGTGAAGACACGACCAAGCCAAAAGCTCTGAGCCTCTAAAGCTCTGGACAGCCCCGAAGCCCGGTGATCTGTCGGGGCACATCGAACCCTGGGCCGCTTCACTTCGACCAGGAGACAAAGGCTCCTCAAAGCAGCGCTTTTGCTGCGACTGCTTTTCGGGTGCTCGGCGACGGCTTACAACTTTGCACGGTGACTGTTGCAGGGGATGGGGCTTGACTGATCGCGCATCTCCGGACAACACCGGAGAGCCGGCACAGCACAAGTTCATCGGAATCCGGGATTGGCTCCTGCACATAGCCGGAAACGCCTTGGCCGCTTCTCGCAGAAGACGCTGCAGTTACCTTGAAAATCGCCTAAGAGTCTAGATGCAGCAGAAATACTTGCCATTGGGACGTAAGCCATCCAAGGAATCGCATTTACCTCAGGCAGTGGCCCCACTTTTCGTGTATTTTTCTCTTTCGAGACTAAGAAGGGGAGGGTGGCATGGCTTCGGGCTAAACGACTACGCTGACTACACAACTACACGTGCTCAGCATCAGAGGTGCTTTTTGCCCGCTCCTCGTTTCAACCGCAAACGAAGGCATCCTGAACGGAACCCTGGCTACATCTGGCTCACAGAATCTTTCGTCCTGCTCATTTCGCTCTGAACGCCGTCATGCCACTTCCTGCATCCCATTGATCTCTGGCACTGGCTCCTGCAGGCAGGTCGCCAATTACTCTGCAAACCTGGCATGCTGAGAGTCGTACAAGTATGTTAACTGGTACCTAAAACATCTTGCAACCGGGTTTTGCACGACCTGGGATTTGGTTGTGGTGCGCCTTTGCCGCTTCCTGGATTCCAAAGCTTTACAACAGGTCTACCCTGCGTCCTTGCCGGTCACGATCTGATGGCGCAGAAAGTTGTTCTGGTTCATCAGCCTCTCGTGCCCATCGACCACACCGATGCAAAAAAGAATCGTGTCAACGCTTCTATTTTCAGAGTCTTCTACGTTGAGCAGACTCGGAATGAGATGAACATGAAAAGCAGCATCCAAGGTTTGCAAGTGGAAGCAGCAGAGGATACAAGCACGCCAGAAGTTCAGAAATTTTTGACGTGCAGCAAAGTGGCTGGGACACCTCTTGTGATAAACGATCTAGATCTTCTTTGGAGACCGCTTGCTGTCCGATTGCACACTTCGGAACCTGGTCAGGGAAAGGAAAGAAGGACAGCAACGGGACAAGGCACTTTGGAGTCGCCTGCAGGTCAGGACAGGGCAAGGGCGAGGTCGGCGAGGTGGTCCAGGGTGGTGCTGGGACTCCTGGAGGCTGCGAGATGCCTACCCGCTTTCAGACATCTCGTAGCTCACACGGTCCTTTGGTACCCGGGCTGTCCGGCTCGTCCTGGGCTTCTTAACCGAGGCGGTAGAACCCTTGTCTTTACGGGTCGACTTCCGATCACCCCTTGCAATGAACTGCAACTAAGGCTCGGATCTCGGCGTGTTGAGACAACTGGCTCCCGTCAACTCGATGGACACGTTCAGGTCTCCGCGGGAGGCCTGCCAACTCTTAAGCATGTCCAGAAACCTCTGCATCTCCCCAAGAAGCCCTATGCAGCAATATGCGCTTTTTACTCTCCCGGAATGCATGTCTCCGGGTTCTCTGCGATTCGGTGTCCATGCTCGCCAAGCAGTTGCCGCGAAGCGAAGCTTTGAGAGCCAAAGCGGTGCCTCGTCCGGAGGTGCCTTGGGTGTAGTGGCGTCGAAGAGGCAGCTGTCGCTGCATGCCCGGGTTCGGCCGAACGGGAAGTCTGGTGAATCCTCGTCCTGCAACCAAAGTGCTACGCCGCTACGATGCTAGACAAAGGAAGGCTCGAAGCTGGCAGGTCCTCGAGCTCGATGAAGGTGTTTCGCAAGACCAGGCGGCCCGTAAGCTGACAGCACAGAGATGTCAGGCAAGGACGGCAGAAGAGATGAAACTTTGGAACTCCCCCGGCCTGAGGCGCAGCCGACGAGACCTCCACTCCGGCCGTGTCCTCATTGCTGCGCATCGGCAAACGAGGTCTCCGCAGTGCGGAGTGCGCAGCGGCGCCCAAAACAAGCGGTCTTGAGCCCAAGGTCGGAGTCCGAGGCATCGTCTGCTCGGCTTCTTTGCATGCTGTCGGCAACACCATACATACACTTGACCACATGGCAAGAGCAGGGCAAATGATGAGACGTGACATCGCATCTGCCCTTTCCAAACTCATCAGGTTATTTAAGCATCTATAAAATAGCTTGAGATGTGCGGATGCCTTCTAGCTATTCGGCACCCCTGGGCACTGGCCGACAACTGCTCGAATGGACCAGCGTGTATTGGTGCAGCGATGGCTGTGTGCTTCCAATTCGTATGGAGTCGCTCAAGCTTTCGCGAGCCCCATAATGTGGAAGCTGACGGCTGCTCAGCAATTGCGGTGCTGAAATCTGCTGGGACGCTGCCGACGAGGGCTCTGTCAATACTCTAACAGCCGCGTAGTGCAATGTCTGCGCCAGCACTGAGAAACTGAAGAGGGATAGCTGCTATCGAGTCCCAAGCTTTTTGAAAGTGCAAGCGGACAAGCTATGAAGCAGTGTATTATCCGCCGACCCCTGCTGGGGCGGCGCCAGTGAAATCCCGAAGGGTCGGTTTTTGCTTGTCTTCCCGTCAAGAAGAAGTAACAGGCTTCAAAAGTTAGCGACACCGCCACCCCACCACCCACACCGTTTTCAGCGCTTCGCCTACACTGCCCCGTTCACCGTTCCAAACCCTCTCCGTCTCCACCGCCGTCAGCGCTTTGCCCA